TCCACTTCACGTGTGGAACCAGGGTCCTCTGGCACTGGCTATTCATCGAATGTAGCACTTACAGCACACTTCCACTATAGACACAACAGAGGACTGACTGCTTATTCACTGCTTGCTTACTCCCAGCAATACTTTAACAATGGCTTTCATGAACACAGCGACTTACACTGACTGACTCTTACTACTCAGCCGCAGCGAATTCCGGCAGGTTGATTGCAATATTCGTTTTATATATAGTTAGTATATATGATATATATATATATATATATATATATTATTATATATTATATATATAATTGTGTGTGTGTGTGTGTGTGTGACAAGGCCGGGTCTAACCGCCTCTGGGAAAGTCGAAGGGCTCCTCTACACATATTGTCAATCTCACAATACCTTTGGGTAATTACGAGTGAGGTTACTTCGTCTGTATAAGTCCTTGCGAAGTCCTTCGTCTGCGAGATTGTTTGATTTCCTTCGCGCAACGAGACTCGAAATCCAGAAGACTTATCTTCCTTCTTCTGAGGTAAGTAAGAGTTTCGCTATTGAATGGTTGGGTGGTGATAACGATACTTGATAAGACTGGTCCTAACTTTTCGATTAAGCTCCTGGCAGTGTTGTTGTCCAGTGAAGAACACCAATTCTAGACAGCACGGTACTGCCAAGTTTTCCGTTTAAGAAGAGTTTTGGGCAGATTTTTGGAGACTTCTTTCCAAGGTTTTTTTTTTTGAATGTCATCATCCATCTTGCTTCACTTGTGCTCAAAAGTTGGTGCGGGGCTAAATTATTTTATGTATCCTCTTGCCAAGTTCTTCGCCATATGGTTGCACACATCATGGTGGTTTAGTGGGATCAAGGGACCTCGCGACAATAACGGTTGTTTTCCGTAGCGCAGCGCCCCAAGTATATTGACGCCACGTAACGTCGCAGTCGAGGCGCCGCCAAGATCTTTCTAAAGAGGTCAAAAGAGCCGCGAGTAGCAGATGTGGGACAGCACTGGATGCGTGCGGTGGTCAAGAACTAGAGGATTTTCTTAAAACGTGCGCGGGTGTGCACATAAAAAAGACACCGGGCGACGTTCACTTGGCACATGCGAAGGGAGAGGCTATTTGAACCCTCCCGCAATAAAAGTGATACAGCGATTCGTACCCACGCACTTGTCACGTCATCAAGCCCGTTCTTTGAAAAATATTCCTTGTTTCCCATTACACCACAGCGGCGGTCGAACTCCACTAACCAGAGGACAGAGGCGAACCCCCCCCGTCTCGAAGTATGAGGCCACTTTAAACCGTCGGACCAGAACGATTCAACGGAAATTTGTCGCATGAGTACACGGCACTATTGTTTCTGAAGATCGACCCACCACAAGCTCCAACTAGCCGATGTCAGACAATCAGGGTGATGCACTCGTAATCAGAGGAGGGATTTGAAGCCTACATTCTGTCGCGTGAGAAGATCCAAAACCGTTCCGTTGTTGGTGATTTCGAAGACGCTTTGCTTCTGCCGTCAAGGCTCTGATTGAGAAAAGACTTGGTTTCTCTCATCTCTGAGCATCGCATCTCGAACTTAGACTCTGGCACTTAAAAATCTACAATCTCAAAGAGGCACTTGTAATGTCTTGCGTTCTAGATGCAAACTCGCAATTGTGAAACTCGCAATGAAAAATGCAGTTTCTGACTCGCATTTTGCATGATTGCAGTTTTATTTGGGGCACTAGTAAATCGTACTTAAAACTCGTGGCTCATCTCTATATCTTGTTGCTCCGAACTTCCGGTACTTGACGCATAGATTGACGAATCGAACTCCAGCCTGTTCGCCGTGTCGTCCTGCATGTTCGGCGCCGAGTGCCGAGAAGGGCCGACCGGATGCGTGTCGGTTGGCTGCGAAAACCAACAACCGTCGCGGGTGCTTGACCGAGTGGTTGGGCTCCTACAGAAGAAATCAACATGCCATAAGTGGGTCTGTCTCTTCATTCCATATATATATATATGTGTGTGTGTGTGTGTGTGTGTGTGTGTGTGTGTGACAAGGCCGGTCTACCCTCTGGGAAATTGTCAATCTCATACCTTTGGTAATTACGAGTGGAGGTTACTTCGTCCTGAATAAAAATGACGAACGTTCTGTCTCAGCAAAGAGGTATCAGCCAGGAAACTGACGATCCCATATTCACGGTGTTCCCTTTGAGCTCAACAGGGTACCTGCTGTGCAAACGCCTGTGGGTCCACACACTCAGCCTATCTTCTTTGGTGATACATTGTTTTTCAGAGTCCGTTTTATTCCAGTTCAGTGGGGTAAAATGCTTGTCTGTTGCACAAATTGCTTCATGCAATGACCGTCGTTTTCTGAAGGAAGTATTTGCGAAGATTGTTGATTTGCCTCGCGCACGAGGACTCGAAATCTAGAAGACCTCTACTTCTTTCTGAGATAAGTAAAGTCTTGCTATTGAACTGTTGGGTTGGTGCATACGATACTTGATAAGACTGGTCCTAACTTTTCGATTAAGCTCCTGCAGTGTTGTTGTCCAGTGAAGAACACCAAATGTCTAGACAGCACCAGGTACTGCCCAAGTTTTCCGTTTAAAAGAGTTTTGCAGATTTTTGAGATTCTTTCCAAGGTTTTTTTTTTGAATGTCACTCATCATCTTTGCTTCACTTGTGCTCAAAAGTTGGTGCGGGCCTAAATATTTATAGGTATCCTCTTGCCCAAGTTCTTCGACATATGTGCCACACATCATGATGAGTTTGTGGGGATCAGGGACCCGCGACAAATAGACGGTCTGTTTTCTAGCGAGGCTGCCCCAAGATATTGACCGCCACGTACCCGTCGCATCGAGGCGCCGCCAAGAAATTTCTAAAGAGTCAAAAGACGCCGCGACGTAGCAGAGTGGGACAGCACTGGATGCCGCGCGGTGGTCAAGAACGTAGAGATTTCTTAAAACGTGCGCGGGTGTGCTACTATAAAAAGACACCGCGACGTTTCACTTGCACATGCGAAGGAGAGGCCATTTGAACCCCCTCCCGCAATAAAAGTGCATACCAGCGATTCGTACCACGCACTTGCACGTCATCCAAGCCGTTCTTTGAAAATATTCCTTTTTCCATTACACCACAGCTGCGTCGAATTCCACTAACCAGAGGACAGAGGCGAACCCTCCCCCGTCTCCGAGTATGAGCCACTTTAAACCGTCGGACCAAACATTCAACGGAAATTTGTCGCATGAGTAAACGCACTATTGTTCTGAAGATCGACCCACCACAGCTCCCAATAGCCGATTGTAGACAATCAGAGTGATGCACTCGGATCAGAGGAGGGGATTGAAGCCTTCATTTTGTCGCGTGAGAGATTCCAAAACCGTTCCGTTTGTGCCTTTCGAAGACGCTTTTGGCTTCTGCCTCAAGCTCTGACTTGAAATGACTTGGTTTCTCCATCTCGAGCATGCATCTCGAACTTGACTTGGCACTTAAAAATTTACATCTCAAAGAGGCACTTGTAATGTCTTGCGTTCTAGATCGCAAACTCGCAATTGTGAAACTCGCAATGAAATGCAGTTCTGACTCGCATTTGCATGAACTTGCAGTTTATTTTGGGCACTAGAATCGTACTTAAAACTCGTGAGCTCATCCTAACTTGTGCTCCGACCGGTACTTTGACCGCATGATTGACGAATCGAACTCAGCCTGGTTCGCGTGTCGTCCTCTGTTCGGCCGGAGTGCACGAGAAGGGGACGACCGATGCGTGTCGTTGGCTGCTGACAACAAGCAACACCGTCGCGGGTGGCTCTGACCGAGTGTTGGGCCTTCCCTACAGGAAGAAACTCAACATGCCCCATAAGTGGGTCCCTGTCATCTCAACTTCACAGCTGTAAATCTGAGAGACTGCTCAACGAAGGAAGCTGAGAGACTATATGCTACCAATACGGCGTATTATTTGTAGCGGAAAAATTAATTATTTTTGTTTTTGTAATCACTTCAATAAAACTAGAACGCCGCAATAACTAAAATCACAAATTGTAGTAATTTTGTAAATTCATTCATTTGTATGCACATCATTTTAAATTTTAATAATATGTGTTGTGAAATTAATTCGGTATGTGTTTTATTGAACATGCAATCCCGCATCCAAAGAACATCCTGACAGGGGGCAGGGGCTTCGAGTGTGAGAAAGTGTACCCTAGACAGAAATTAGGTAAAAATCAGTGCATATAATCTTAAAACAATTATTTACGCCTTACAAAGCACCGTAAAAAAGAACCACATAACATCTTCAAATCAAAACAAAATGTGAAACCACTTCCAAAATACACTCTCTGAAATTAATGACATACCGTAATGGAACGGTCACACGCGTCAGGTTGCGACGCGTATTTCACCTCCCCGGGAAAACGAAGCGGCGGAGGGCCACGTGACCCGCGAAGCTGATGGAGGTAGTTGCGACGCGCAAGCGCGGTCATGCCGATAGAGGAGGCGACCGCGAGTAGAAGTGCCTTTCCGAGGTAGGGACGAGGGCGAGTTCCTTTGTCTTTCGGGGGGACGCGAGTGGATGCATCGCCGCCGCCTGCGTCCATCATCGCCATCGCGGGCCGCCTCTGGGGTCAGACGAACGCCACGGACCATGACTGCGGCTG